GCTTCTTTCCTTGCAGATAAGAAAGCCATTGTTTTCTCACTTGATACTGAGATGTAACCATTTGACAATGCACTGTTTTAAAGGGAAAAAAGCATTTAATTGATGACACTTTAGATTGTGTCACCTAGTCTATGTTTTTTTACTTCTTTCTGTTCAAACAAAATGCATTAACAGTAATTTCAGATAGATTTCTAATTGGGTAAAACAAATTTTCCCACTGAATTTCCAGTCCTCTTTCTCTCTTCCTGTTTATTGTTTGCTACTTTTAAACTAAAAGAGAGTTTGCAGTTGTTTTTTTTTTAATGGCAAATAGGTCCCCTCAGTGCTCTAATGTTGCCAAGTGATAAACATGTAAATAAATCTCTTGTACCTCTGACGTTGGGTGCTCATGTTAATATAGCTACATATCATGTTTGGTGTTTAAAAACACACAAATGAAACCAAACCGAACAAAAAAAACAAAGAACAAAAACAACCAAAAAACCCCCCAACAACTATTCCCAAGCCAAGAAGGGTGGACTCTAAAATAGCCTCTTATTTTTCATTCTTTTGTGTTGCTCTTTGCTGTTGTCTCATTTTGGATGGAACCAGTTCCCCTACTAGTAGTTAAATTGGACCTCTATATAACAAGTTTCTCATATGTACCGTTTTGCTGTTTTATGGATCCGCTGGCATAGAAAGGTGAAGTGTGCATTGACTGGTAGGAACAGTTTGAGCACTGGGTCTTTTACACTACATTTTTGCTTTCTGTTCTGATAGCCCCTGCTTCCCCAGATTGAGATGCATGATAATCCACTGACAGGATTATTTACAGGGAAAAATGAAACAAAAGAGAACAGAAATGTTTTCAATGTCTTGTGATTTCAGTGGAAACAGATAAAGAAATGTTTAAGCATTCAGCTGCAGAAGGGTTGTGCTGTGAGTATTTTGGTATGGGAATATCACACAGCTGCCCATTATATTCTGCCTCAGTGTCAGTAGCTTGGAAGGCTTTCCCATTGACACTCACTGCTTTTTCATAAAACAACATCTGAAATGGAAAACTAAAAGTAACAGTTTGATAGCACATTGTTAATGAGTGAAGTGGGATTAAAATCTTGCTAAGATGCATTTCTAAGGGATTTCCTTTTCTATTTTAGAATTATGATACTTGTCATACAGCATAATTATGCATTCTCAAGAAATAAGAAAACAAATGAGGGTTGCAGATTGAAAATATTCTTGTGAGATTTCTACTAATTTACCTCTGAGAATCATAACTCAGAAAATAAAGACTGAACAGTATTGGGATCATAGTTTTCTCTAGGTTTCCAGGTGATTTTGTAGCAGTAGATTCCCTGTTCCTTCCAATGTGCTTTTGTATTATTGTACTACAGTCCAAAGACAGCAGCAGTGTACTGGCCCACCAGAACAACAACATGAAAATATTTCAGGTCTAGGGAATAGCATTGGTTAAGTGGAGCATAAAGGTGAAGAGTGAAGTATCCAAATACAGAAAATACTATCATTCCATATATGCACTGCTATGATAAGGCAGATATTTGTAAAAAGCACATAGTAATGCCACAGCCTGACAGTTTGCAAGTCATGAGTCAGCAAGAATTAGGAGAATTTAATAAAAAATTTGGTTTTCTTCCTCATTCATCCCTAAGCTTTTGAAGTGTGCTGGATTCCACTTTAAATGCTCACTGAACAGAGATTTCTTTTTTTTTTTTTCTTAATAGAACTGTGTTCAAAATCGTTCTCTTGATGCCAGACCCTTGAGCGTTAAATAAACTGAGTATGGTAATAAAATAAAAAACACTGGCAATTATAATGATACTACTTTTCAGTTGATGCCCCTTTGAGTTGTTAGAGACAAATCTTAGAAAGGCTTCTGCCCTCTTCCATGGACCTAAAATGAGCCTGCTGCATAGGTGTTTTCCTTTTTACGGAAGCTACTGTTGCTAACATTGCAGTGGGAAAGCGTGCAGCTGCCTGCTCTGCATTCCAGGCAGGGATGCATGTATAATGATTTGTCCAGGAAATCAAAGAACTCTACTCCAAAGGAACAGGTCCTCCTTCTTTGCTCATGTACATCTCCCCATGTTGGCTTCCAGGAGATGGGCCTGAGTAAAGATGGGCCTGAAGTGAGGATCATGCATGAACAGATATGAACATTGTATTGTATCACTGGCCTGCTGATATAAAGCTTCAGTTGAAAGTGTAGTGAAATAGTTTTGCCAGGGCAAATTCACACCTGTATTTTTCGTTCTTCTGGAAATGTCCAGTTACCCATTTGAAATGTTGCTTGGGCAGGTTTTGAAGAGTTGTTTAGATTGCCAGGGGTATCCTTATATGTGGTAGCTGCTATTCTCCATAGCATGGCATGAGATTTTTGAAAACCACTGTACTTACAGGACTTCTGCTTTATAGCTGCAGCACACATTTACAACAGATCCAAGATTTCCTGCAAGTGCCAAGCTGTGCTTTACCATTAGCAATTCTGATTTTCTGGAAGATCCTCAACTGATAAGTTATAAATTAATTTTTCAGATTTTGGATCAAAATTTCAAATATTTTCTTCAATCTGTGCATGCATATTTGTTTCAGCAAAATTGCAAACCCAAAATGCTTGGTGAGCATTCAACACATACAAGATATGAAGCAATGTGTGTGCACATAAACTTATCTGAACTACATATAAACTCAAGGGCTCCCTATCTGTAAGTATGTAGCAGGCAACTAGATTGTATAAAATACCCATACTTTGCATTTGCATTTTTAAAATAAAAATCCCCGTGTAAAAACTTGAATCAAATTCTCTCTAGAAAAGTTTGAAGGAAGAGAGAACTCCATGCATGGCTAAATAGGTGGCAAAAATTTATCCCAGGGGCCTTTGTTCCACCGGGGCATATATTGCATTATGTGAAAGAGTTTAGTGCTTTGATTTTTATTTTTTTTAATGGTCAGAATTTGTCAGCATTTACAATATACCACCACGTAAGATAGCCCTGTTAATTGTACTACAAATAATAAAGACTTCATAGGCACTATGTATTTGGAACAGCATTTTTAAATGACATTGCAGGGGGGTGTGCACATGCACGCACATGTGTGTGCTTGTGTGTATGATAAACCATAGCCACCTGTGATATGCTTCCAACTATTTGCAGTGTCATGGACACAACTAAGAAACACTGACCAGAAAACAATCTACAAAGGCTGAGGGCTAACAGCCTCCATGTTATACAGACGGTTATCTTCTTTCTAAAAGAACATACTGTCATTACAAATACCATATGTATCTTGTTCTCACCCAACAGAACTTTTTTTCAGTTTCTCAGATTTGAAGGATTTCTGCAAAGAACCATAATAATTTCTTTTCGTGTAAGGTGAAAGGAGGCACCAACTGAGACTGAGGATGCAACTTGTCATCAAAAAATAAATGTCTGATGACAATAATTATAGAAAAAAAAATATTTAGAAAGCTATCCATTCACAATACTTCACCTTTTTTTGCAAATACAAGAACCATATTTGTTGCTGCTTCCCGTATTTGTTGGTTTTCATTGCTATCATGTTGTTTCTAAAACCTGGGTTATTCTAATGAACAGAAATTATGACCTGAATTTGGGTAATGCTTATGACCACACAAATAATCTATTAGTAGCAATAGTGTCAGCTGGAGAATTAATGCTACAAGTGGATAACATTACGCTACTTGAAACCAATAGCTCATCAAACAGTAGAAGACTGAGGGTCCTATTCAGCAAATATTCAGGGTCCTATGGCTGTGGCCACTGAGGTTCCAGAAGCTCTCGCTGAGTCTAATCCTGATTCAGGAACCAAAATGATATGCTGTGTATATATTTCTCTGCACAGCCTGGATGCGCTGGACACCCTCCCCCACTTGATTCCTGGGAAGGAAAAAAATATGTCTCTGTTTAGCTCAGTGACGTGAAAAGCAATCCACAGTAATGAAATCTAAAGAAGTTAGCCAGGCATGTATGAAAAGAACAGGATGCCTGTAAAAAGGGAAGAGCTGTCAAAACCTAATTGTGGGCTCTGGCTGCAATAAAATTTATCAAAGAGGGAAGACAGGTTGGACATAAGGATGTAGACAACTTTGGCTAAGAGAC